GCGGGATCGGCGCCTTGATCGGAGCTCCTTTGGCAGGTACGTCTTCGTCGCCGTTAGTCAGACAGATGTGATTTACTCTGCCTCGAATCCTCTTGTAAAATGCAGAAATGCCTCAGATGCTTCAGATGGCCATTCGAGTACTTTGCCATGTTTTCAAAATTATCAGTTCAGAACGAATCGTAATAATCAGTATTTTCTCGATTTTGTACAATCCATCTAGTGTTTTCTTCTTTCCGGCAGGATTCATCGTCGATCTGACGGGCAGCTATACCGGGGTGATCTGGTTCTCGGTAGCGAACCTGTTATCGGGCGCCGTGCTCATGTTCCTGTGTTACCTCATCAGCCAAAAGATGAAGCGGAAGAGGCAGTTACCAGGGGAAGAAGTGTGAGGTACAAATCCTTATGTTCTTCCAGGGTCTCAGCTGTGGTAAGCACTGCGACTGTGATATCTCAGACGTAAGAAATACAACCAGCCCGAAAGTGGTTCAGTTCAGTTATGTGGAGGTGGTTTTACCTCAGGATGCAGCTTGATTAGCACACCTGTGATATAAATGAATAAGGAGATTTCAAAGATTGGACCGTCAGAAGGCATCCAGCATCAGACTGTTCCACTGACGAAGTTGACAAGCAAGATTAACAGACGCCGGGATTGGAGAGATTGGTAAAGGACCATCTCCCTCACAGCAACTGCATACCGGTACAGAGCAATACTGTTTATTGTTAGGCACAGTTTACTGTATACATGGCAGGCGTTAACTGTGTATCACATCATTCTTTATTATGTACAAATAAGGTGTGAACACATCACACTTTCACTGCATATATTGTAAGATAAAACGTATATATTTTAATCTCTCGAATTCCAGTGACATGCAGAGTGTAAATTTTGTAAGCTAATGTTTGAGTATGCGTGTAAAACTATACTGTATATAACGTAAGTTGATATATACATGTACACATAAGTTCAGTAAGTATATATGTAAAGACCATGTACAACGTATATATGTGTATATATATATATATGTATATATACATATATATATATATATATATATATATATATATATATATATATATATATGCGTGTGTGTGTGTGTGTGTTGGCGGAAGGGGGGGTAGGTGTTTGTGTAAGTATGTATGTAAGTGTGTATGTGTATATATATGTATATATATACATACGTACAAACACACACACACACACACACACACACACACACACACACACACACACACACACACACACACACACACACACACACACACACACACACACACACATACACACACACACACACACACACACAGATATATATATATATATATATATATATATATATATATATATATATATATATATATATATATATATACATTTATATATATATAAATGTATGTATGCAGTTACAGTATGTATATATGGGAGCATTTACTTTGTTTCACTGCACAAGTGCAAGCACAGGTACTAGTGAATCTCCATTTGTCAGAAACTCCCTAAACCCTTCAGAACGATTTCGTTCTTTGTACAGTTAAATACCCATTTACGTGTTACGCTTCTGAACGTTACTTTCTGGACAGGAGCCAATCATTCCACAATCAAACTCTAGTGGCAGTGGAGCGCTAAGCAAGATCTGATTTCAGTTTTCAGAATACATGACCTTCGCAGACTCATGGCAATGGCAAATCATGTCGTTGAACCTTATAATTATGACAAGAGTAGTACCTCTGTGTATTATCCATCCGTTATATTTGGATGAGCAGGGTTACGAACAGTGCAAATATAAGAGAATCAAATACTGTGTTAGTGCTTGCTTCTTTGCATTATTTAACTGCGTCTTCCGAGTCTGTTTTAGTTCCATGCTTTACGATTTCATCAAGCTTATATGAATAAATCAGTTGTCAGCCATTATCTGAGTGGACAATTCATTCTATTAAGTTTTATCTTTTTTTTATTTAATAGACACAATCTATGACACATTTGAGCTTTCATATTACGTCGCAAGAGTTGAAAGAGGGAGACGCAGGTTGTTGATGATAAAAATCTAGTTTCAAAGCAGTAGGAGAAAAGCTGGTTCGATTCCAGACTGTTCTCTATATGTACAAAGGCATCTCTCTCCTACAAATTAACTAATAACTATTTTAGAAAGTTTCAGAAAGTGTGCAATGAGTAAATAACACATTTTTACCTTCTTTGTATAAAGAACGTGTGTAGTTTCGCTCACTCTTATAAAGTCTTTTCCTTATTTGATCAGACCATTGTTACATTTGCGGCATTTAGTCATACGATGTAAAAGATACATTCAGAGCGATCTTAAAGCTGCTAAAAAAATATGTATGCGTGTATGTCCATGCACTTACCAATATGACAGGGTATATGAAATAAACTAATACCTATCCATATCTGCAAAGGATACAATGCCATATATCGGTAAGAAAAAACGTACAGCCAGTGGAACCGCAGGTTTCAGCCCAGATTTGTTATTATTTAGCAGATAACGCATTT